CATTTTTGCCTTGGAAACACAGACCCGCTGAGTAAAGAGAAAGCTGGAGAGGAATAAATACATGGTGCCTATTCCTTTCATTTATTTTAAAACGGGAATAGAAGATGTGAACACAAAAGTTTCCTAAGGAAAAGGAATTCACGCACGTAGTGAGCTAGGTTGAAACAGTGGTGGGGTAATGTGACAATGGATCCCCTGCTGAGGTTTATGTGGGATGTAGAAAAGAGGAGCCATATGCAGTTGACCTGTCCAATTGTATTTCAGTCTTCAGAAAGAGTAGAAGGCTGACACCAGGAAGAACAAGGAGACTCACAAATTGGTTGGAACTAATATAAAAAACAAAATCTTGAGCTTAGAGAAAGTGTTGGAAAGTGAACTCGTTTGCTGAGTCTACCTCCAGTAAAGCAGAAACATATGCCCACATTATGTTGCACCTCTTCTACTTTTGCGTTCCCCCACTGAAAATGTCTAAGCAACCATCGCCAACAAGAAGGAAGATATCATTGTTGTAATCTCGGCCATGCAATTCCATTTGCTTTTACTTTTGTTCTGAGTCCTAAAGTTTACCAAGGTTAGAGAAAAATGAACACACTGTAGGTCTAAGGTGGACAACTTCAAGGAACTGAATGTATAGTTACCTCATTTGTTTCCTTAGAAGTCAAATCACCACACATAAACCATTAATTAAAACAGACCGAGAAAGGCCCAGCCTGTGTTCCCATTGAGATTCTTTCCCAGGGTGTGTGCTAATCTCTGCATGTCTCCCTTTGCTACAGAAGTGTGAGACTATTTCGTTCTTGGTTGTTCCTGTCACTTTTCCTTGGTGGATCTCAGGAAGAGTGAATTCATTCTTTAGAAAATACTAGACGCTTACAAGACCCCGGGAAGGCCCATGCAGAACAGACAAGTGCATGTCTTGGAGAGATGGGGCTTGTTGCCTCTACCAACTCTTTGTATCATCATGCCCAGCCCTGGCTGCACCATACAATGCTTGTTACTACTTACCAAGGGCTCCTCTCCCTCAGTGGGCATCATTAAACTGCTTTCAGATCTATTTCCCTCCTCTGTATCTTTTTAGTTAAATTTTAACTCTGTAACTGCTTTACATTTACATGTGATATACTTTCCCTTATTAACATATTCTAATATGCCACATGAGTTCATCTGGTGGTCGCATTATATTTAATCAGTGTGCTGCTTTAAAAAGTATTTTCCAGGCCTGGAGAGATGGCTCAGCGGTTAAGAGCACTGACTGCTCTTCCAGAGGTCCTGAGTTCAATTCCCAGCAACCACATGGTGGCTCACAACCATCTGTAATTCGGTCTGGCACCCTCTTCTGTATACATAATAAACAAATCTTAAAAAAAAAATAAAATAAAAAGTATTTTCCCTTATAAGCAGTGCTTTTACGCAAATGTTTATATTTTGTTTTATAAAAAAATTTTACAGGTAGCAGTTAGGTAAAAGGGCTGTACTTTTGTTAGATTCCAGCTCATTTTTTATTAATGATTTTTTTTAATTGTAGAATAACACAGATACATAGGTGTATTTGAATTGTTGTAACTTGATGGTTTTTCACAAAGTGAAACCTATCCAGGAAGTGCCGATATGCTGGAAGAAACCCAGCCCTTCTGAAGTATAGCACATTTCTGATAGCAAAAGCTGTCGACTACTTTTGCCTGGTTTGTTTTCAGGATTTATATAAACAGAATCATCTCTCTGTAATCTTGTTTCTCCTCGATTTTCAGCACATGCATCTTTAAAGTACACCCTGGTGCAGCAGAGACTTCTCCTTTCACCGTCTTTTCTTGTTTTGTTTCATTTGAGACAATCTCATGGAACTTGGATGGGCCTCAAACTCATTGTGTAGCTGATGATGGACTGGGAACCTATCTCTACCTCCTGAGGAGTAGGATTACAAGCCTACTCCACAACTCCAGGCTCTCATTTTTGTGTTCTTGATCCTCAGCAAAATTTCATAGCTTGATCATTTCTCATCTTGGAAATTTTTCTCTGTGATGGTCATCTTATGGCATTTCTCTGTCTTCCTTTGTCCATCATAGAGCCTTTGCCTCCACTCACCTTAAAAGTGATTTATTCAAGGTCTTGTTCTAAGCAGGTTTAGTGAGACTCCTGGCTTATTTTTGTCTGCATCATGATGATTCTTGACTATATATTTATGTCCTAGACTTCTCTTGTTTAATACTAAAAGGACCAGCCTTAATATTAATACTTTCCAGGGGCTCAGGAGAGAAAACTACGAATGGCAAGGACTATTTTTGGGAAATAGAATCTCAGCACATCGAGCTCTTTAGTCCACTTGCTTTAATTTTTCTGGGATAACATCCTCTTTACACAGCTTCAGTTCTGTTCTCATGCCTAGCTCCTTTCTTGTTTGATTTCTCTCTATATTCAACTGCTGCTCCAAGTTCTATCTTAATTCCCTCATCTTAATTCTGCCTCATCTAGGCCCTTTTCATCTCATTCTTACTCAGCTAGTACTTTCCCATGTGGCTCTTCCTCATCTTCCATCTCGTCCACATGTTCTCTCTGGTCAAAATCCTCTGCATCCCTCTCCCTTCTCTGCCTCTCAATTCTCCCCAAGTCTCTCAGGAATCCAGTTGTAAACCTAAGCAATAGCAATCCCCTGGTCAAGCAAGGTCACCAGGCTTGAATTCTACAGGGTCATAAAGGGAGGTAAGAAGTGTCCTCAGGCAGTGACCATCAGGCCTTGTTTTATAACCCAAAATGGGAGTGGTAAAAGAGGAGGTCAACGAGTGCTAATGACCGGTTAGTATATCAAAGAGGGGATCTATGCACTCAGTCTACATTCCTAGAAGTGGTTAGGAAAGAAGTTAGGGGTCTATAAAGTTAGTAACACTGTAAGAAAGAAGAGACCGAGTTAAATTATGTAAAGTTATTTATGGTGGTATTTTATTTGTACTGAAATGTGATTTTATTTGTATGTTTAAATAAAGTTGCTCGGGGGTCAGAGCTAATAGCAAGCCATAGCAGAGCTGGGCATTCGTGGTGCACTCCTTTAATCCCAGCACTTGGTAGAAGAGCTAAGTAGATCTCTGTGTGGTCAAGGATACAGCCAGCATTGGAGACACACGCCTTTAATTTCAATACCATAGAAGACCTGGAGGGCTGTACAAACAGGCAGTGACGAGGCAGTCATGTGTTTGGGTTTACAACCAATGAGAAGGCAGAACAGAAAGACTATATAAAGACAAACACACAGGAAGTAGGTCTCTTTCGGAGAGGTCTCTTGGGTGAAGAGGCTAGCTGCAGCAGGCAGTAAGGCTCTTAGCTCTGATCTCTTGGCTTTCTTCTTTGCATTGGTTCTGTGTTTCTTATTTAATAAGACGGTTGGTTACATCTACAGTTATTACTTAAGGTCCGCCTGACCTAGGCAGTGTCTCCTTGTGGAATTTATATTAAATCAGGAGACTAGCATGTGGTGATTTGGACTGTTATTTCTGTTAGTCCTTGAAAGTAGCTAAGGGAGATATCTGATTCTAGTGCTGAAAAGGGAGAAACCGGTGGGCTGGGGGGAAGGAAGCCTTTCCTGAGGCTGTTCTCCAAATACCTTGAATGTATATGTCCAAAGAGTGATCAGTCCACACTGTTAGCAATTTTTAAGGAAAAATCAATTGGGAGAACTATGAAGGCACACATGATTTTCATAATAGAAGACAGCTGATATATAACAAGCCAAATAACACCAAATGCTCCTTGGAATTTGGCTTCCTCTGAAGGAATTCCTTGATCCCTTCAGGCAGTGCCATAGCCAGGTGAGTTCTTATGATATATTCCTGCGACCCATAGCAGACTTCTCTGTGCTTAAACCTTAACATTCAACTTGAGCCCTGTAGATGTAACCAACCGTCTTATTAAATAAGAAACACAGAACCAATGCAAAGAAGAAAGCCAAGAGATCAGAGCTAAGAGACTTACCCTGCAGCTAGTCTCTTAAACCAAGAGACCTCTCCGAAAAGGAGCTACTTCCTGTGTGTTTGTCTTTATATAGTCTTTCTGTTCTGCCTTCTTATTGGTTGTAAACTCAAACACGTGACTGCCTAGTCACTGCCTGTAAGTACAGCCCTCCAGATCTTAAAGGCGTGTGTCTCCAATGCTGGCTGTATCCCTGAACACACAGAGACTTACCTAGCTCTGCCTACCAAGTGCTGGGATTAAAGGTGTGCACCACCACCCCCATACTCTTGCTATGGCTCTAATAGCTCTGACCCCCAGGGGCAACTTTATTTATTAACGTACAATTAAAATCACATTTCAGTACAAATAAAATACCACCACAGAGCCCACCACTTCCTGTTTCACAACTCCAAACTCCAGTCTAAGACTGAACAAACGTTCTCACCCCTTCCAACGGTCTCTTACCCGGCCATTGTTTCTGGTCTTTGAAACACACCACCAGCTTGTCACAATGCTGAGAATTCAGCCATAATTGGCGTTTATCACTCATTATTCCTGAGAGCCCCTAAGCTCAGTCCTGACATTTCCTCTCTCGTAGCTCAGGTAACTGTCCACTTCTCATGCTCAGCTTTGCCAGCATCCAAACCCAAGCCACTATTGGCTCTTGCTTACTTACTAGCATTTCAAGTAACAATTAAGATTAAACTGTACTTTAAAAGTCTGCATTGGTTTATAGTACACAGTGAGAAAATAACATCTGTCACTCCTCCCTCACCCTGCCCTTCCTCCAGGCATTTCTTCATATATCTGCATATCCTTAAATATGATTAAAACAGGGTTTCAAGTGGAACAATTAAATCCATCATGGCTCCATGTTAGGACAGAATGACTAGTGTAGTGAAAACTAGAAGGAAAAAAATTTACATATCGGGTTCAATATTTTCTGACAAAATTACATATTTAATGAGTGACATACTAAAATATGATCCATTGTTTCTAACACAAAAATATACAGACTCATATGATTTTGTATACTTGTATGAGCTTTAATTAAAGTATATAAAAATTATTTCCTATATATACAGACAATGAAGCTGAAAAATGCCCAAAAAAATGGGGGTCCATTGTTAGAGGTAAACATTTTTGGAAACAGGGAGATAATGGAATCCTTTCTAGAGGGTTTCAATGACATGATGCAAATCAAAACAACTAGAAGAGGAAACTTTGTTCCAGAAGGAACTGTGAGGGATCATCTCAGTTTGTGTTCACAGCAAAGGGGAGAACCATCACTTGTTGAAACAATTTTTCTCAGGTCTGAGGGAAAAGCAGGGTGCATGCAAATAGAGTCCAAACCTTGGAAGGCAGCAGGAGAGAGACGTTAGTATCCTTTCTTCTACAACCTCGCTGTTCACATTGGCCTATGGTCATCTTCATTTTGCTACCAGTGGTGTTCTCATCCTTCTAAAACTATAACAACTACAACACAGCCCCCTCACTTAAGGCTCAGAGAACATTGCTGAAGAGGAGGGCAAAAGGATTTTAAGAACCAGAAGAGCAGGAATGAGATGGTGTCTCCTAGAAATGTCAGAGAAGCCACATCCACGATGTCTCACCAACATGGATGCCTAACCAAGACCTGAACAAGGACAGCACCAATAGACTGGGGGTGGGGGAATCGCATGGGGCCCCACCCTTAGACAAAGAACTATAGGCATGTATGGAATGCTGAGAGTGGGGGAAATAGTCTTCTTCAGGGAAGAGCAGCCCCCAATTGATTAACCAATACTAAGTCATCAGGTTTGTAATCATATACATCAAATAATATTATATGGACTGAGCAGATTGCATTTTTATATTTAGGAAAGTGTGTGTATAACTACAGTTAAAGCAATAGAAGTCATGATTTTGAAAGAGAGTTTGGGGTAAACTAGAAGGTTTTGTGGAGAAATGAGAAGGGGAAAATGATGGGATTATATTTTAATATGAAAAATAAGAAAAATTAAGAACATAACTAACAGGTTTTCTGTATTGCTATAATATGCTTCTCCACTGACACAGTAAGCCAGATCAAGCCAAACTGAAAAAGTAAAAGAACAAGTTTATTTGAGCAAAGCAGCTCCCAGGTGAGTTCTCCAATCCCAGAGATAGAGGCAGGAGAAGTCACTCACCCTAACTAAAGCAGGGAGGTTAAGTAGCCTGTAGGTGAAGGGTGTCCACCACAAGCAGGGCTTGTACCCAAGTATGGTCAAAACCTGAACACTTTAGGTGAGGGCTTGGGCTGCTGGCAACTTCAGGGGAGAAGCTGTTGCAAGAATTTAGAACTGGGCTTTTTGAAGCCTTTTCTTTGTTGGCGATTCTCTGAAAGGGCAGGGTTTGGAGAGAGAAAGATGGGGCTTCTCGACTGTGCAGGAGTGAGCTGGAGGTTCCAACTGAACAATAACAACTAATAATAACACCGTGTAAGTGTACAATTTGCAATGCAACAGATTCAGATTATGTCATGATTTTGCCACTTACACATTGAATAATTTTTGGTGAGTCATTACCTCACTAATTCAGTAAGAGAACAGTTCTATCCCGAAGGTTACATTATGTACATACAGTGTTTGGTGTACTTATCAATAAGTGGTAGATCAATTATCACTAGGAAGAAACAAAGCAATAATAAATAGCACCAAGACTGAGGCAGGTGCTACTCATGTTGAGTCAGGGCTAAAGTTAATGAGCATCCCAAGGGCAGAAATTAGATCATGTTCTCCCAAGAGTTTTATGGACTCTTCTCTCCCTCTAGTACCAAGGATGAGTTTCTAGGTAACCATTGGGTAAGAATCACCTAAGAATAAATCCATGCTCAAGATGTCTGATTATTACCATATCCTGTACATCAACCATTTGTCTTCTTTTATCAGAATAAACACCAATACTTTGGATTTTGCCTTATTTTTATTGTTAGGATTTTTAAGTTCCATGGGATAGGGAGGCAGTGGTTTCTATATGGTGAAGTCAACCTTATTGAATCTACATAAGTTCAGCCATTGCATTTATGTCCGCTCTCCTCATGATGCTCATCTTTTCCTTTACAGACCTTGAAAAATACATATGCCTAGACTAGTGGAAATTAAATTTACGAGAATGGGCAGCTGAGATGTCTTATCAGGTAAAGGTGCTGGCCACTGAGTCTGACAGCCTGAGTGTGAGCTCTGAAACCCACATAATGGGAACAGGAAATTAACTCTTACCCATTGTCCTCCGATTTACACACAGAGACCAAATAACATAAGAAAGAATCACAACAATAAAATAACAAAGCATTAATTTAATTATTTGAGAACTAAAATAAAAATTAAAAAGTTCTGGCTTTTCAGTACTGACCATATTAAATGTAATCTTGAAGCATTTATTGTTTCTAGATATCAAATTTCTTCAATATAATAAGAGGATTAAAATTGATTGTAATGTCAAACTTCTAGGATTATAAAAATGCCTACAGAAAATATCTATGTAACATCTTATATGCCATTTTTATAACCTCATACACACCTATATGTGAATTTCAGATTTTCATGAAAAAGGAGATTATAATCCAGGTGTCTGGAACAGTCATGGGTAAGGTCTGCAACAGTCATGGGTCAGGTCTGGAACAGTTCATGGATAAGGTACAGTTCATGGGTAAGGTCTGGAACAATCATGGATAAGGTCTGGTCTACTGATCACAGTTGTTCACCTATCCAAGGCAAATGAGAAGGAACACTGGGAAAAGCAAATTCTCAGGCCCTGCCCAGGTGCTCCCTGCATCAGGAGCTACAGGGGAGGGGTCAACCTCTGTGCTGCAACCTCTCCTCCTGGTGATTCTGATAAACAGGAACCTGTGAGAACCACTACCCACAAACACTCCCAGGGAAGAACTATAGCTTAACTCTCTGCACCAGCAGTCAGTCACTGAAGGGGAAAATGGCAGGTCCCCTACCAAGAGCTTAGACAGGTTGCTCAGATATCCAGCTGGGACCAAGAGGATTTTACAGCAGGAGGGGCTGGCGTGGTTGGAGACTGTGGAGCAGGAGGCCAATGGCCCCACATTAAATCACTCTTTCTCATGCAGGCGTTTCTAACATAGGCCAGGAATGGCTGGCTTTAAAGAATTCTTCCCTGCGGTGGGTCCTAACACACACCCTCTATTCTGAGACACACCTACTGGGACCCCAGCCCCCAGAGTTCTTGATGGTGGAAATCTAAGACAGAAACAGTTTCTCGGGGTGATCTTGCATACTTTTTTCAGGCCCCTTTCAATGACATGCTTCTCTTGGTTTAATTCACACTTCATTTAAAGGGGGTATATGCTCAGAGAAAGTGGAATATTCTTGGAGTTTCTCTGAGCTAAAGGTGAGCTTGTCTAGAGAAAGACGCAGGGGTGAGAATAAGCCTGTGGAAACGACAAGGCAAGAACTCAGCATGGACACTCTTTAGGAGGTTTATAGAGGCCACGTTGTCGTCCAGGACGTTTCCCTGGGAGGGGAATCCACGGCTTTGCAACTTCCTGGCCAGTGTGAGGGTCACCAGTCGGCTGTAACCTTTCCTGCGATGGTCAGGTAGGGTGTAGCCATGACACATGGTGGCAAACTGGTCTGTGATACCCCAGGACACTGGGTTTCCCTTCTCATCACGCACACACACGCTGGGAAAGCAGGCGATGAGTTTGGCTAAGTATCGGAGGCACTGCTGGTTGCCGCCACGTGACCAAGTCCGGTTGAGGAGATCAGCATCTGAGACACTTAGGTAGGTCAGTCTCGGGGAAGGCCCAGCTCTAGGAAAAAATAAATAAATAAATGGGCTCTTTGAGTCACGTGACTACCAGTCGCTACGCTTTTCATAACGCATTTAAAATGAGAAATCATCTCCGAGACTATGTCTGGCTTTTTCAAGAATTTAAAACCTAAACACGTCCCACTTGAAAGACAAAACGTGCATACTCAGTTTGTTTTGGCCAGCTCTGCAGACTGCGGTGTGGCGGAGGCGGCTGCTGCAGCATCCCCCCACTCTGTCTGGGAGAGGGAGTACAACTTAACTTAGGTTTGGATTGTTTGCGTACTCACAGGTTCTTAGGGTTCAGCCAGTTACCAGCAGGCTGGAATCACTCCCAAAGGAGGCAGACAGCTAGCTGATCAGGCCAAGCATGTGATTCCCTAGTTTGCTCTCACATGTGTGTCCTCCTGGATGGGTGGAGCATTGGAATCTCTTTTGATTTTGAGTGCTGCCAAACTCTTGAATCATTCCTTGCACAAATAAGCGAGGCTACAGTTAACACACACATCCATGTTTATTTACCTGTTATTATTATTATTGTTGTTGTTACTATTAATTTCACCCAGAATTGCCCTTAAAGGATGTTTGTGAAGTCTTAGGCAGTCCAGATTTTTTTTTTTTTTTTGAGCCCTAATATTTTGGGACTAAATTGTATTCTAGCATTCGGGATCCTTCTGCTTTTGCATAGCCAAGGCTAGAAAATGAATACAAGTCGCTATGCATATGCACATACTCGGAAACAATTAGCTTTGCCCAGTTTTCCCCCTGCTGCTCCTCTCTAGACTGAATATTCTCAGTTTTTCACTGGCCAATGTTTGCAGGACACTAACTTTTATTTATTTTAATTGTATAATAAAAGTGTCTAGTAATTTTATATGAAAAAGCCCTGATGTCAAGATAAAGTTCCTGGTACATTTTAAGAACTGAAACAAGGGGCTGGGCTGGAGAGATGGCTCAGAGGTTAAGAGCACTGGCTGCTCTTCAGAGACCTGAGTTCAATTGCTAGCACCCACATGCTGGCTCACAGCCACCTATAAGGAGATCTGATACCCTCTTCTGGCATGCAGGCACACACAGAGACAGAAAACTCATACACATAAATAAACTGATCTTAAGAAAAGAAAGAACTAAAACAAATTATAACCTATGTGCCTTGGAAGCCTTGGAATTTCCTTACATTGTGAATTTGTCAATACTACTTAGCCCATTGACTAGTAAAGACTCATACTGTAGCCCTGTTGTGGTTGTAAAAATGTATCTAATTCTGCCTTTCACTTTTCTTAGTGGCCATCAGCTGTAGGCTTGGCCAATCTTCTATTCAGGGGGGAAGAGGGGAAACTGACTTATGATTTTTCAGTTCAACTTTGAAAGTATACTTCAAAGAAAGGGCAGAGGACTTCAAGCACAAATATTGCTACAAGCAGAAACATTGCCAAGGCAAGGATCTCAGGCACAGTGTGTCACACGTTTGTACCCGAGGACCAAGCATGCAGAATACGGTCCACAGTTTGAGAATGGCTTTGGGGCTAAAGACAAAATGTCACTGCTATGTGGGATCACCAGACTAAGTCCCATACTTTGGAATGGACAAGGATATCTGGAATAAGATACAGAAGTATGGGGGAGATTGCAAAAGGAGGATTACTTCCAGAAGAGATTCCAGAAGGCAGCTATGCTCACTATTATACCACCAACACACCATGGTAAAAGGCTGTGTACAGCAAAAGAAACAAGACAATGAAGGGAAACCCTGAAGAATGGTGAACGCACTGGAAAATTATACTTGTGGTAGGTGTCTAATATCCAGAATACACAGAATGAGGGAAACCCAATGGGGATAAAACCAAATAACCCCATTTAGAAATGATCAGCGGGCCTACAGAGACATTTTTAAAAATAAGGTATACAAATGGCCAAGAGGTATATGAAAAAACTCCAAATCAAACCCACTATGTAACTGCATTACCTCACTGCAGTTAGAATGGTTCCTGTCCAGAAGTCAAAAGACACCAAGGGGTAGTGAAGATGGGAAAAGGAAACTTTACACAGCACTGGGAGGAAGGTAAATTAGTACAGCTACGAAGGAAAACAGTGTGGAGATACCTCAACGAATTAAAATTACAATTGTAATATGATCAAGACACCCTATTCCTGAGAATATACCCCAAAGTAGTAAAGTCAGTCCCTGTTGACTGCAGCATGTTTGACAATGAGCAAGACATGGATTTGTGTTAAGCATGTATGAACAATGTGATATGTACACAATGAAATAGTATTCATCCTTAAAAAGAAGACTCAATCTTACCATCTGCAAAAACACGAATGAGACTGTTATTATATTAATCAAAACAAGCCAAGTGCAGAAAGACAAAAAGTACGTGATCTCACATACATGAAGAATCTAAAACAATAATCTCCAGAAAGCAGAGACTGAAGTAGTGGCTAGCCTATTCTAGAGAAAGCAAGTGGGGTGGGGAATTTTTGTCTTACCCAGGAGTCAGGGCACATACCTTTATTCACAGCACTTGGGAGGCAGAGGCAGGTAGATCTCTGAGTTTGAGGGCAGCCTGGTCTATAGAGAGTTCCAGGACAGCCAGGGCAGCACAGAGAATCCCTGTGTTGAACACCCACCACCACTAAAAAACAAAACCAAACCAAAAATCTTCTCTTTTAGATATACATCTTTTTTTAAAAAAAAGATTTATTTATTTATTATGTATACAGAAGAGGGCCTCAGATCTCATTACAGATGGCTGTGAGCCACCATGTGGTTGCTGAGAATTGAACTCAGGACCTCTGGAAGAGCAGTCGGTGCTCTTAACCTCTGAGCCATCTCTCTAGCCCTAGACATACATCTTAAAGGTGCTAGGATTAAGGATAAAGTGCATGGCATTCTGTTTCAGTTAATTGAGTAGGAGTACAGCATTCATAAGGGATAGTTCTCAGGATGTATGTGAAAGTTGACCCCTGAGCTGGGAGAGGGTTTTCTCCTTTCAGTGTTTGTGTGTTTCCATATTGTGAAAACATGAAAGAAAGTCCTAGTGATTTCCTGAAATTTCAGGGCTAGTTTGTGCTTACCAGGTCCTCTAACACCTACCATAGGAGCACAGGACTGACATGAATGGAGGTGGGCACCTTTTAATCAACCTTGTTTCATTCTTTTTTTTAAAAAAAAAGTGTGTGTGTGTGTGTGTGTGTGTGTGTGTGTGTGTGTGTGTGTGTGCGCGTGCACATGTCAATATGAGGTGTCTTCTTCAATTGTTCTCCACTCTGTCATTTGCGACAGGGTCTTCCACTGAACCAGAGCTGACTACTTCAGCTAGACTGGATGGCCAGCAAGCATCAGAGAGGCTCTTATTTGCCCCAGAGCAACAGGTGTTTGCTGCCACAACGAACTTTTAAGTGGGTGCTGGGACTTCTAACTTAGGTATTTGTGCTTGTGTCAAAGGCACTTTCCTCGAGTGAGCTATCTATCCCTCCAGCTCCTAGACCCCAATTCTGAGAAGAGATTGAGGTCCAGGAAGGATAAGCTGAAGGGAAGATTCTCACAACACAAGGCCTCCAAATAAGAGAGGAGAGACAATGCAAACACACACCCACAAGTATTTTTAAGGACCGCCTTCTCAAACTGAACTTCCTGTGGTCAGTTCCTAGCCTCAGAACTCACTTGTGTGTTTAAGTTCAACTCTGTTAGAAATAGAATCATGATGGTTCTACTTGAGAGGACAGAGAGAAAAGAGAGAAAAGGAGAGGGATACATTTAAATCATTTAGTTCCTTGTCCTTAAAATCTCAACATAAATCAGTAAAATACCTCTAGCTTTAAACAACAGAATCCTCCCCAACTTTTGACTCAGACAATAGGGATTACTTAGAATTATATTATGAAGAATGGAACCAAGAAATGGCTTTTCCATATATATACACATATACTATGAAAATGCAGGTTTCATGAGCTCAGTGACTATAGATGAAGACACTGATTTGATTTTCAGAGAAATAATAAGCAGTGAAGTACAGGAAAGAGAAAAAGAGTGTACATAAATACACACACGCACGCACGCACACACGCGTACGCACACACACATACAACCCCACCCCCCCACACGCACCCTTAGTCCAATGGCCCAATTCAAAAAGCCTAACTATTCTTTTGAGATAATAAGTATTCCAGCATTGTTGTTGGGACTTGCATAACAGTAAATCCAGCTTCAAACATAGAACTTGTTTTACATACAGGAAACCGTGGTCTGGCACAGATGAAACAGGAGAAAAATGGACAGCCTTGAAGGAAGTCAGCTTTATATCCAAATCCAACAGCTTTGCATTGGCAACGGCTTTGGAAACAGCATATAATTCACTTTGCAGCCCTGGATAACGACAGACACAAAACCACAGTCATTTATTTCAGCATTTGTATGCCACATGTCATCAGTACCACCGTTTGATGTCATAACCATGATATAGTTGGTTATATATGTATTACTACAGACATCCTCTACCTGATCTACAAATCAAATCATATTGTCGTGACCAGTCATGATCTTCCACTTCTGCTGAAAATACCTCAAGGAAATTTGGAATTTCTTACTCAAAGTTTTATTTGTTAATTTTCTTAATGCTTCAGATTAAATTTCTTGAAGAGTATTGTCTCTTTTTTATTTATGACTTTAAAAATTAAAGATCAAGTGTTTATAAGAGTTTAGATTTTTTTAGTATAGTAAGGTGTGATGGTTAGCTTCAACTTGACAACACAGAATCACTTGGGAAAAGAGTCTCACGAAGGATTGACTACCTTGGGGTTAGCCTGTGGGCAGGTCTGTGCAGTATTGTCTTAATAAGTTAACTGATGTGGGGAGAACCAGCTCGCTGTGGCTGGCACCATTAGGCAGGCATTGAGCCTGAACTGTTTAAGAGTAGAGAAATCAAATACAAGCAGCTAAGTAAGTGAGCACGTATGCACATACACTTGTTTCTCTGTGCTTGACTATGGATGTAATGTTGGAAGTTTGTGCCTTGACTTTCCCCCAGGGATGCATGATGACCTGGAGCTATAAACTGAAATAAACTCCTTTCCTCCTTAAATTACGTTTGTCATGGTATTTTATCATCCACAGGAATGAGACTAGAACACAAGGCAACTTTGAAGTTTCTCATCCATTTCCACAATGTCCGTTATGGTAGTCCAGGTGCAGCCTGGGGTTGGAAGGTTGAGCACAGTGAACCCAACCAGATACCACTCATTTCTCACAGTCATGCTACATTTTTTATACCCCTTTGTTTGGTATTTATTCAGCGGTGTTCTGGGCACCATCTCTTCCACCCCAGTACACAAATACAGGGTTTGGTCTCTGTTGTTAATAGCATTACAGTTCTCTCCAAGTCCCCGGTTGTGAAAATTTGATCCGTTTAACCAACGACCTTTGGGCTATGTGGCCCAATGGGTGTGGCCCTTGCTAGGTACATGACCAGTTAAAACTGAGAATGGGGCGCACTCCCTGTCTCTTGGGAGGTGGGAAACCAGATGGTAGGTTCCCTTCACCCCTGCACAGAATGGAGGACGACAGTGACGATGATGGCTGTTTACTTTGTTCTATATCCATGAGTGTATAATCCCCATTTTATATCTTAATACAATCTTGATATCCTTTAACAGAAGCTTGTGGATTCACATAACAGTCCCGCTGTTTTCTAGTCTTTGCAGTCTGACTCTTGGTGGACAGACTCCTCTAAAATAACTTGGCTTTCTATCTTCTAGTCTCATTACTGAAGCACGATGTCTCTTTCTTCCCCTCCCTGCTCCATTTGTGAGCTGCTTCTCAGTATGACCTTGAGACTACAACTGGGTTTGAAGGCATATTGAACACAGTGTGGTGGTTGAACCTTGACACCTCCTTCTGGTAGCTAAGCCTCAGTAAAGACTAGGAAGTTTACAAGTTAATGCTACTAAAATTACAGCTGCAAAAGTTAATATCCCTTATTATCAAACTGAGTTATATCTAAGTAATCAAAAGGTCTGTATTTTATTGGTTTTTTTTTTTGAAACAGTGTGCTATATATGTAGTCCATGTGGCTTAGGCAGCTTTAAACTGGAATCCTTCTGCCTCTGCCTCACAAGCACTGGGATTACAGGTGGGTGCCTCCATACCCAACACTCAAAAGATTGTCTACAAGAGAAAAATAAGTGGTACAAGTCAAAGGTAATATACATACTCTAGTATAGGAATAGTAACTCTATAAAACTCAAGTATATATGTTAAGTATCTACAGATTTATCTCTGTCAATCTCTATATACTGTACATGTATGTAATATCTTTTAAGAGATTAATAAAAAGAGTATGTACATGTGTGTATGTGTACGCGTACATGAGCACACTGACTGCAGAGGCCGGAAAATAGTGTCAATTCCCTTAGAGCTGAAGTCACAGGTTTCTATGAGTTGCCTACTCTAACAAGGGTCCTGGAACTGAACTCTGATCCCCTGGAAGACTAGCAAGAATTCTTAACCACTTAGCCATCTCTCCAGTCTCCATGATATGTCTTTCTATACTTCTCTGGTATACACACTAAAAAAAGGAAAATGTGGGTATATAATGTATACTTTGAACTTGACCTTACCTTGTATTTGAAAAACTTGGTCCCAGTTAATAACATCACGATCTTCCAATAGCTGCTGGTAAGCACTGACATCCTTGTAGAACACAGCGTATGCATTAGTGTAATGGTCAAGGTTATCTGTCTCAGCCTAGGGCAGAAGACACAGTCATGAATATAACACGAAAGCATATCTTCTGGGTAATCCATATCCTAGAAAGATTATCTATGATTACTATCTAGCTAATTTTCTATTGTTCAAATTAGTTACCTGGAAACAGAGGAACAAGAATGTGGCTAATATACTATAACGAGGAAAATAGAGATCTTGTGACTTTTTTTTTCTTGATTCTTTCTTCCAGAACTAAGAAAGTTCTAAGATCTTTCAGACTTTCTAGGATTTAATTTATAAAAATAGAAACTGTAGTGGCCGGCAACTGCAGTCTCAGCTGGGGGGGTGGGGGGGAACGGACGTTGTTGGGAGGCTGAGGAAGGAGAATTGCTTGATTCCAAGAGGCCAGCCTGGGGACTATAGAAAGAGTCACCTCAAAACAAAGGCAACAGCAGTGAAAGATGAAGAAGTTTGCTACGAATGTAGCTGGGCAGCTGGCCAGCATAGGCCAGATCTAGTTTGCTTTCTGTTGCTGTGAGAAAACAACTCTGACCAAAAGGCTTGGGGTGGGGTATTTGGCCTACGCTTCCTGGTCACAGTCCTTCACTGAGGGAAGTCAGGTAGCAGCTGAAGAAGGTATCATGGAGGAATGCTTCTTTCTGGCTCTTGTTCCACTAGCTCTCTTATACAGCCAGAGTCTCCCACACGGAAAGTTGCACCCCGCCCTCATGCCAATCATCACAGACATGGCAACAAGCCAGTGGAGACTCAACAGTGCCTCAGTTGAGACTGCCTCAGATGACTCTAGAACTCATCACATTAAGAGCTGATGCTAATCAGGACACCTGGCCTCTAACTACACACACACACACACACACACACACACACACACACACACACAAATACAAAGAGAAAAGGTAAAACTCAGTGAGTAGAATGTAAGAATGTCAGCCCTCACAGTCTTCCTTCTGCAGAGGGCAGATCATCTTGGATCACTAGAGGTTCTCTTTGGCCTCAGAGGGAGAATGAGGTCATTGGTCTCATTGTGCTGACTTCCTTTAATTTTTCTCAAATTCCCAAATTCATCAGTCCTAAGAAATACCCTACTAGTGAAGGAGTTAGTATGTTCATATTGTATGCTTCATCTTGTGGTGGTATTGTTTCCCCCAAAATATTGTGCACTCTAATAAACATATCTGGGGTCAGAGAACAGAACAGCCACTAGACACAGAGGCTAGAAAATGGTGGAACTCACGCCTTTAATCCTAGCATTCCAGAGGCAGAAATTTGCCTGGATCTCTGTGAGTTCAAGGCCACACTGGAAATAGCCAGGCATGGTGACACACGCTTTTAATTTCAGGAAGTGATGGCAGAAAGCAGAAAGATATTTAAGGTGTGAGGACCAGGAACTAGAGCCTCGTTAAGCTTTCAGGCTTTTGAGAAGCAGTTCAGCTGAGATCCATTTGGATGAGGACTCAAAGGCTTCCAGCCTGAGGAAACAGGATCGGCTGAGGAACTGGTGAGGTGAGGTGGCTGTGGCTTGTTCTGCTTCTCTGATCTTCCACCATTCACCCCAATACCTGGCCCAAGGTTTGTTTTATTAATAAGAACTTTTAAGATTCGTGCTACATCATCTTCTAGAGATTGTGAATCATTAAAGGAACACTTGCAGGCTAGCAGTCTTCCATATGCCTGAGACTCCAAAGGCATCAACTACAAACCATTGATGAACTGCATACCATGTGAAGATAATGTATGCTATTACAATGGTCATCCTGCTCCCTTTATCTAACTCGCTCTTTCCAGTTGGTGCCGATTTAACTTTTAACGTTTCTTATTTGCTTTTTAGCACTGTACCTCTCTCTGTCGCCGGGTGATGACAGCTTTGAAGTCTGGCCATGAGTCCAATACTACTTCCTTTTGAAAGGGATTTCCACGATTTATGTTCATCACCGCTCCATAAACCTGAGACAAGATAATCACAGCACTAGCTATTCCAATTGCATCACCTTCTTCCTCTCTACTCTAAAATCACAGCCCCAAGAGAGGAGTCACAGATATATTCACGTGCATATACACAACACAGATTTCTTTAGAGTAGCTCTGAGAGAGGAATTATAGATATATTCACACACATATACACAACACGGGTTTCTTTAGAGTCATCACTTCAAAGATGTTCATGGAAACCGATTAACAAGTCTGTTAAATCCTGATACCCTATAATCCTGAAGAAGTCGAGAGAATGCTTGGTGACTGAGCACCAATTAATATGAGGGTGCTATGAGGAGCTGTTCTGTATCTTTCCCATCTTTTTCCTTCATGAGGAAAAATGTCTGTCCTAAAAACATCATGTACACCCAGAACTGGTGAAAGTTGCAGCATAGCAAGGATTGTGGAGCTAATATTCATAATATTTTCATCATCATCATCATCATCAAACAGGAAACACCTAACTGTCCATCAACCCAAAGCCAACTTCCGTGCTCACTGCAGCCCCGTTTTTACATTTATCAGAATCTTTGATTTATGACATCTTTCACACTGTCACACAGTGATCAGCAGGCCCCCTTGGATTTTAGATCAGAGGCTTGAGTGAGCAACCTGCAACAAAAACTTCAGTCCTCAATCATATTCTTACTTTCAGCGACACAAAACTCACCGTCATCTATCATTTAAAACAGGTTACTTCTAAAACAACATAGTCTTGATTGCCCAAATTCCCCTAAGGAGTCCTCCAGAGCAACAGAAGGACGAGAGGAGCAGACTGGGACACTAACGTGATCATCAGAAAAGAGCAGTGATAGCCACATGTCTGACATTATCTCCTAAATTAGTACAACAGAGAAACTTAGTACGATTAGGATTACACTACCTTGAGTGATTCAGGAAAGTGACTCTTCAGCATTTTCTCCAGTGTAAGTAATTTGGTGGAGCAGTTTAGCACCAACATCGTCTCCAAAGTTTTGCACTTCCGCACCTAACTAGAAACTTGAAGATAGATATTTAATTTCTGCCTATTAACACGGGATGCTACTTGGAATATGCTGATTTCTTTTGGTATAATGCCGACGCTTCCTTTGAAGAGGATGGAAATGAAAGGTAGGGAGGCTGCAGGGTAGGTAAACCAGTGAATATGTGGAAACAGAGATCACTAGACCTAATCCTTTTCAGAGGGGGCTACATAGCCACTATATTCTGATCATCCCCAGCAGGGAACTGGTAAGAGCTGGACTTCTACATTTAAGTGTGTTCTGTTCCAGTTAGTCTCATATAGCTTGTTGGCAGCAAGAAGGGAGGGCCTTCCCGGTTTGTTATTTCCCTTACGATCACCTGCCGTGTAAGTTGTGTGTGATAAAAGAGAAATACAGACACCTGTGGACCAATGAATACAGGGAGGAAAGAGAAATAACTAGGTTTGACCCATGAAGCCAAATAAAAACCCCAACTCCTTTAGAGACAATGGTCTCCCTGGCTCTGGAGGCCTCTCTGCTGTTGGAGGACTGTAATGCTTGTCAACAAATGTCAACTTTGGTTTGTCCTGAACTCCTTCCTGTCTCTTAAATGAAGGATAAAATGAAACCACCTGCTAGCTGTATCGTCCCCTAAATGCCGAGAAATAATATTTTGAACACAGGTAAATATATATCTATACATATCTATATAGATAGATATAACAATTAAATTGAAATTAAAATTCAGGCAAATGGAAAATAAGATACAAAAGGAATAGAGCCAAGAGAAAGCTTAGTTTATAAACATAGACTATAGTCCAGCAGATAGAATCTTATTTCTAGATTCCACATGTGATAACCAGCTGCCTTCTAAGTAAGATTTATTTGTAACTGCCAAATCAATCCTGGTAATGTTGTGGCAGTTATCTGTAGATGTTCAAAGAACAATAAAAAAAAAGTCTCCTGACACACATTTTCAGTGAAGTTTATTGGAGAACTTTATTGTCCTATTTCACTTCTTATGATGTAAACAAAAGTCACTATTTATTGCTCCTTTTATTTACTTAAATAAAAAAATATCTTTTGTTAGTAATTTCCTGTTTAAAATGTGTGGGTAAGCAATGGCCCAGTGCTTGGCCCTAAAAGGGACAGCTTTATCTCTCTCTCTAAGGCTCCGGGAGTATAGAAGAGAGGTAGGGAGAAAGAGCCAGAGGGTCGGAATGTGCAGCAAAAGATGTTTCCTTAACATGACATGGCTGTTCCACTCGTGGACTCCCTGTGGTTGCGGTTTTCTCTATAAGATTAGACCTGTTAACATGTCATCATGGATGGGGAGTGAGAGGCTCCTGTCTCTGGGGCTGACTGTTGGCAATTAACATGTCTTAAGGAAGGGTATGCCATTTTCTTCAGTGCTGAAGCCATTGATGAGTGGCCCTTGTTCCACTGAGTAACCTCCCACCCATGTTCAAGGGATAGGAACTCGAATCAAATGCAGTGGCCTTGCACAAAGGGAAGACTTGGTGGGAAGGGTTCGTTAGGAAGGGGGATAAGAGAGGGAGGAATGGCAGGCAGCAGGGGTGAAAGGAAATAAAGCTCATGCCATAAATATGCAAAACTGTCGAACAATTAAAAAAATTTAAAAATGGCTCCTAGGCATAGTGCATAACCGCTGCCTAGATATTCCCAAGTGCAAGGAGGCTTTGCTGTCTTGCAGGAAAAACACATTAGTAAGCATTGTTCCAGCATGAGTTTTAGTGTTACTGACCAGTTCGATGAGAGCCAATCAGCAATACATATCGAATTAAACAACGTCTTTAAACGAAAAGAAAATACAAAGTGAGGTTATGTACTGTGAGTGAAAACAGTTTTGTAGGAACCTAACTCAGTGTCACTAGGAGCAATGTTTCAGTATCAACTAGATCAGTGTAGCACATGACGTTACAGACTGAAACCCTCCACAGTGAGAAATGACAGGCTGGGAGCTCACATCTGACACTAAACCTTTCCAGCCGCTAACATGAGAGAAAGAAACACGATTAGGTGCTGCTTCGGCCGTCTGTAAAGTTATTCCGTGTTCTTTTCCTGGCATTCACTTCATTTTACCTGTCTGCCATGGCTACACTGCAATCCAGTTTCCTACATTCAAAGCCTCCCCTGGATCAGTCTCCCTTCTAGGCTTAGTTCTTGCCAACAAATTACTCAAGTGAAAAAATTAAAACTAGACATTTCCCAGGGCCTTCCACACATGATACTAACTTTAACACACAAGATGTGAAAATGCTTGTTCAATAAACAGTGATGAATTTCATAGGTGATCTTCACTAAATGTGAAGATTTGGTTAACGCCACAAAACAGAGTATGAAAATTCCCATAGATCAAGAAAAAAAAATATATATATATAGTGTTAAAGTTACCAGACTGTCATATCCTTCCCACTCCACTACAGGTCCTTAATAATCAGAATGTCTTCTAGATTTGGAAAGTAAAGGTTTATAACCCATTAAGGTAAACGTCTATCAATAGGCACACACATAAAATCTTGCCAAGGAAAATAAGGTTTTCAAGTTTTAAGAACTCAACTTTCTTCAGGGACATTGTTTATCAACACAGGAAAAGTATTTGGAAAATTTTATTGACCAATCATACAACTGAAGCATGACTCACTCTTGGAAAATGATTTTTATAAATAAATAAAACAATTTGTTTTCGTAGTGGTACACATTGGCCAGCATCTTTTTTTTTTAATTTTTTTTATTTTTATTTTTAGGGGAGGGCTCATATGAACATAGGCTCCTGCTACCATAAATTATGCAATCCTATTTCCCAAATTTGTAGAAATTGCAGGGGTCAGTACATGCTAGGTATGATGAAAGAACCTTTGAATCTTGCCCCGGGAAAACTACCTATTTTATTATGTATGGTATCTCTGCTGCCAGTAAGCTGTTAAATTGTATTTAAATTGCAATTATTACTTTTAAAATGTTTTTTACTTTTCTAGGGCTACTTTATCAAAAGTGCTACATTCTGCGTCATCTAACACAAAAGCAGTTTACTCTTCCACAGCTCTGGAGGCTAGCTAGCGAGGTAAGGGTTTTGGTAGGCATGCTGTTGCTCTAGACAAGAGTCCTTTGCTCTTCCAGCCTCTGGAAGCTGCTGAAAGCAGACTCCAGTTCACAGAACTGTGTCTAGGGAAGCTCCTTGCTGAAGAGAAGAGCAATGAATACACAGCCTCTGACAAAATGTCAATTTTAAGGCTACTATTTGAGGAATTCATAGTTGTTTTCGGGGGCAGCAGATTTGCATGCTTTAAAGCCATTTTCCTTCAGCTGTGAATCTTTGAATGCAGCTCTGATTTCTGATTCTGATATAAATACCATGTA